TCTAACTCTGCTTCCTTTGTGGAAAGATACAGACATCATTACTCTGCAAGTGAATTTGGACTGAGTTTTTGCTATAAGAGATTTCTGCTCGTCTTCCTATCTTTGATTCTGCCCCACAGAGAATATTGTTCTTGAAAGTAAATGCAGTTGTACACATCTGGTCTCAACAGTCCAAGTGCATCTGGAAGAAACACCATGCTTGACTCACAGGGTTGGCATTGCCAATGCCACACAAATCTTTGCCTACTTTGGCAAAAGAGGACCACATCTGCTGAACATCTGGTCCACCAATAGAGAGCCAAGCTGCAAGTAAAAGAAATACTGGCCCAGGCACACGTATGGTTCCATCAACCATCCAGGGTCTGTGGTCCATATGAAAATCATTCTTCATCTAGATGGCAATGGTGGACCAAATGGACACAAAGGCTGATCTTCTGACAAATTTGGAATCCTATGGATCTCTTTCTTGGATTGTTTCCTGGCTGAAATTTATACCATCTGCCCTTCTGATAGGCATGCTTGATCCCATGTCCAACCATTTTGAGAATGGCTCATTGTGCATGCACCCTTATGCTGCCATCCTATTTTGATACAATATTATAGTATTTAATTTGCATCCAAATCCTGTCTTTTCCTCCAAGAACACAAGATAGCCCCTATATTGTCTTTCTTACACATCACTGCACTGAAGTCAGTTAGAGTAAAAAGTGAAAACTAGCTCAAGTAGATTTTTTTTACTCATCCATCCATCCATCCATTAATTCATTTGTTCATTTGTTCATTCATTCATTGGATTTATATGGCTGTCCACTCCCTCTCAGCTACTCTGGGTGCCTTACAAACAACTTTCCTTGCAAAGGACTTGGAAGTGGATCTATCCAGTCTTAATCTGAAACACCTTAGCCTATATGGGATTGCTAACTACAACCCCACAGATTTCTACATTTTTATCTCAACCATCCTTGGGAGAGAAGAGAAAGGAAGAGAGAAGGAGAGGGAAGGTGCTGACAGTTTAATGTAATATGAATGTTCAACACATAATTGTCTCTCCCCAAAATGTAAGCCCTGGTATTTATCCAGGCTGCTAGCTTTGAGCGATTACATTGATCAATTAAAAAGCACAAGTCTTAAAAGCGGAACAAGTAATCCCCTTTGATTAATCAGGCCAGCTCAGAATAAGGCAAAGATTGTAGCATTCGCAAAGGGAAAAACTGCTTCAGGGTCCAAAGTTTTACCCATTCCCTCTTTGCCACATTGATGAAAAAGAAACTGATTTTCACCACCCCTTCGGTAGCCAAACTCCACAAACATTTTAAAAAGGCACCCTTTAGGCTGACACAGTAACCTGCGTTCTTTGGAAGACGCACATAGAAATGTGGGAAAAAAGAAAGGAAAGATTGCTGAAGATTCAATACTCACTTGGTCGCTCTGTCCCAAAATGCTTAAAATCTAAGGTCAGAGATGGTCTCCACGGATAGGATTCCAAAAGTCCATCCAAAACTCCTCTGCAACATGATAAGTTGGAAATTAGACTTGCATCCCCATGGAACAAGGCCATTGGAAAAGCTATTGGAGCAGAAGCCTAGCGCCCCATTCATGAGAATAAGCACAAGGGTGGGTTTAACCACATATTTTTGGACAAATTACAATGCCTTAGTAAGGCCACACTTGGAATACTGCATCCAGTTTTGGTCACCACAATGTAAAAAAGATGTTGAGACTCTAGAAAGAGTGCAGAGAAGAGCAACAAAGATGATTAGGGGACTGGAGGCTAAAGCATATAAGGAACGATTGCTGGAATTGGGTATGTCTAGTTTAACGAAGAGAAGGACAAGGGGGGACATGATAGCAGTCTTCCAGTATCTCAGGGGCTGCCCCAAAGAAGAGGGAGTCAAGCTATTCTCCAAGGTGCCTGAAGGCAGGACAAGAAGCAATGGGTGGAAACTAATCAAGGAGAGAAGCAACCTAGAACTAAGGAGAAACTTCCTGACAGTTAGAACAATTAACCAGTGGAACAACCTGCCTCCAGAAGCAGTGAATGCTCCAACACTGGAAGTTTTTAAGAAGAGACTGGACAGCCATTTGTCTGAAATGGTATAGGGTTTCCTGCCTGAGCAGGGGGTTGGACTAGATAACCTCCAAGGTCCCTTCCAACTTTATTATTATTATTATTATTATTATTATTATTATTATTATTATTATTATTATTATTATTATTANTTTATTTCTTTTGCATCTAAATCTTGCACAATACCTAAAAGAAACAGCTGTGGGAGAAAGATAATCCTTTTTTTAAAAATTTGCTGTAAGTTCCACCACAATTGTATCCAAAAGGCCTTAATAACCTTACAGGTCCACCACATATGGAAAAAAGTTGCATCTGGATGTCCACACCTCCAACACTTGGATTCATAATTCACATAAATACGAGACATAGTTGAAGGATCCAAGTGCCTTTTACCTGCTGGTTCTGATAGGCGGTGACCGTCGTAAATTCGGTTTCTTTGAAAGAGAAAGTCTGAACACCAGCTGCAGGCAAAGATGGGGTCTGGGAGAGATCAAACCGGGAATCCTGGATGATAATGTGGACTCTGGGCTTGTATTTGTGCATCGATTGCAAAATTATCTGCAGTCCACAGAGAAAGAAGAGGAAAAAACAATCAGGAAAAGTGACTATTATCATTCTCAAATTTTGAGATTTAAGAGCTGAGAGTTCTACCTTGAGCTTGGTTTACTTAAAAATAATCCTCATTAAATTTTCCTTAAGAGCAAACAAAGATGATTAGGGGACTGGAGGCTAAAATATACATATATTAAAAAAAATACAAATATGCAGGAATTGGATAAGTATAGTCTAGTGAAAAGAAAGACTAGGGGAGACAAGATAGCAGTGTTTCTATTTTTGAGGGGCTGCCACAAAGAAGAGGGGGTCAAGCTATTCTCCAAAGCAGGGCTTTTCAATCTTTTCACCCATTGTACCACTTTTAGGGTATGGCAATATCCGAGTACCACCAGTCGCCTAGCAAGGTGTCAAAAACTTGATGACCCCCCCCCAAAAAAGAAAAAAAGGGATAAAGTGATGAAGTACAGGTAGTCCTCGACTTACAACAGTTCGCTTAGTGACTGTTCGAAGTTACAATGGCACTGAAAAAAGTGCCCCCCAAGGCACAGCCGAGCAAGACACCTGCCTGCCTGCCAGGCCGCACTCTTCCTCCTGTCCGAGGTTTTCATTGTTGTGAGCATTTCTGTTAAGGATTGGCAGCGGGGGTGGGGTGGGGTGGTGTTTGGTTTTTATTCCCCCCGTCTGCTGGGTGGTTGCAGCAGGTTTTGGTCACTTCACATGACTCTGGGACACTGTGACCGTCATAAATATGAATCAGTTGCCACGCATCTGTATGTAAATCACAAGACCCTGGAGATGCTGCAACATTCCAGCTGATCGGCGCTTCTTCTGGGCTCAACGGAAGCGCCAGGATCAGTGCCGAGCTCCAGCTGATCGGTGCTTCTTCAGGGCTCAGCAGAAGCGTCAGGATCAGTGCCGAGCTCCAGCTGGAGCCTGGCGCTGATCCTGGCACTTCCGCTGAGCCCTGACAGCCCTGCAGCTCCAGCCGTCTCTCGCTCAGGCTTGTGCGGTGCTGCCACCGGTTCAGCTCATTCCTCTCCCCCGCTACCACTTTTCTAGAATGGTCGCGTACCACCTGCCAGGTGCCAATGTACCACAGGTGTACCCATACCACTGGTTGAAAAGCCTTGCTCCAAAGCACCTGAAGGCAGGACAAGAAGCAACGGATGGAAACTGATCAAGGAGAGAAGCAACCTAGAACTAAGGAGAAACTTCCTGACAGTTAGAACAATTAACCAGTGGAACAACCTGCCTCCAGAAGCGGTGAATGCTCCAACACTGGAAGTTTTTAAGAGGAGACTGGACAACCAATTGTCTGAAATGGTACAGGGTTTCCTATTTGAGCAGGAGGTTGGACTAGAAGACCCCCAAATCCCTTCCAACTCTGTTATTCTATCATTTAAAATGAGTTCAATCACTTGAACAAGGTGAAATTTGGATGACGAAAGGGTAAATTCTCCTTGTGGTCTGCACTAATGAGGTCTAGTTCAGGACTAAAACCAGAAAGAAATCTTAGCTCAAATTTTCATGCACTTGAAGAGTGTTTTGTTTTCTGTTCACAAGAAAACAAGATTGTTGTTGGCAGCTCTAAAAGGATCACTCCCCTTCTTCATGGAAAAAAAAAATCCCTTCCAAAGGTTTATTTGGAAAACTGAAGGGTGACATAGAATAATACACTCTACTTGAACTTACAGTGCAGCTAATAATGATTAGGTCAAACTTAAGCTTGCTTGCTTGCTTGTTTCCCACCCATCTTGCCTCACCTGTGGTACATCAAAGATTTCCCTGCTTTGGGGAGAGACAAAAATACTGCTATCCGAGCCAAGATACGTTTTACACACAGCTAAGTTGTTAGGGCATCGGTAGGAAAAATCTCATCCTCACAATCTCTTTTTATCTGACATAAAAATTAAAAATGATTTTCTCTATTTTCCTCACGCGCAAAATCTATTTTCAAGGCTAAGATCAAATCTGGATTGCAAAAATCCAGTTTGCCACTAGATGGCAGCCAAAAATGCTGCCCCTTTGCTGCCCCTTTGTGGTCATCTGAGTTTTGTGGCGAATTCCTTCCTTCCTTCCTTCCTTCCTTCCTTCCTTCCTTCTTTCCTTTCTTTCTCCCTCCCTCCCTCCCTCCCTCCCTCCTTCCTTCCTTCCTTCCTTCTTTTCTTTCTCCTTCCTCCCTTCCTCCCTTCCTCCCTTCTTTCTTTCTTTCTTTCTTTCTTTCTCTCTCTCTCTCTCCCTCCCTCCCTCCTTCCTTCCTTCCTTCCTTCTTTTCAAGGCTAAGATCAAATCTGGATTGCAAAAATCCAGTTTGCCACTAGATGGCAGCCAAAAATGCTGCCCCTTTGCTGCCCCTTTGTGGTCATCTGAATTTTGTGGCTAATTCCTTCCTTCCTTCTTTCTTTTCTTTCTCCCTCCCTCCCTCCCTCCTTCCTTCCTTTTCTTTCTCCTTCCTCCCTTCCTCCCTTCTTTCTTTCTTTCTTTCTCTCTCTCTCCCTCCCTCCCTCCTTCCTTCCTTCCTTCTTTTCTTTCTCCTTCCTTCCTTCCTTCCTTCCTTCTTTCTTTTCTTTCTCCTTCCTTCCTTCTTTCTTTCCTTTCTCCTTCCTTCCTTCCTTCCTTCCTTCCTTCCTTCCTTCCTTCCTTCCTTCCTTCCTTCCTTCCTTCCTTCCTTCCTTCCTTCCCTCTTCTACTAAGTCTCCCAAGGCAGCCATCTTGCTCTAACTAATGGCAGAGCTGGCCCTACTTTCTTCCCTCTTATTCCATTCCTGGAAAGTAGTAGCCTCAAATCCACACCTACATGCCCTTTGTCGTCCATCTCATTGTTGGTTAGCTTCACCCGATCGAAGCTGATGATCTGCCTCATCCACGTCTCTCCTGAACAGGGGGAATCCGGGTGCATATAAAGCCGGGGTGTGATGCACGAATGGTCCGTGTTTCCAGCCACCATCCACTGGGAGCTGTGATAGACATACCTGCCAAACGGAACAAGGGGCAGCGCATCACTGTTTTGGTTGAATAAGACACAATTGGCTGATTTTACAACAACCACCATTAAGCCATGAATCGCAGCTTAAAAGTCAGAACATTAGGATTCGTGTCGTAGACTACGCCAAAAATTACATCAGTCACATTACAGCTTAACATATGGGAAACTAAAGCAGTAGGTCTTGAGCCAAGGACCCCCCAATTAGCTTGGGAAATCAATTCACTGTATTCTACTCTCCACTGAATAACAGCAATCAGCATTATTTCTGCACTGGAAGTTAGGCTAATCATTCACAGTCCACTTAATCAACTAATCTTTCTTTCTTTCTTTTTTTTGCATTCTATATTTCTTATTCCCAGGATTTGATCAACTTAAGTGTTGCTTCTCCCCTTTTCACTTTTAGCTCTGCTGAGCTGACGGCTCTATCTCAGTCCCAAATTCAGTGGGAAGAGAGTTTTGTGTGGTCAAAAGCTCCAGAAAGAGGCCTTTTGCTCTCTTTCCTCCCTTCTTGCTTTGGGCACGTGGAAGTGAGGGTGGGTGGGGGGGGGGTAGGCTGGAGAAAAAGAAAGAGAAAGAATTGTGCATTTTGGAAAGATGGGAGAACTTTGTAGCCCGAACTCTTCAAAGTTTCCAAAGTCGCAGGGACTTTTTTCCATTTCTCTGCCAACTGGTGTTTGTGATCAAAGGCCTCCCTCAAAGGGAACAATAAGAAGAGCAGGGAAACAGACCATCTTCATTAATTGATAACTGCTTTGCTTTTCACTCTGTTCAGAGCGGGTGAGAAGAATCCAAGCAAGTTGGAACTGGAAATTATTGTTTCAGATTCCAGCTCGGTGTTGGAGTTACTTACAAGTAACTGCCTGTGTATTTTGCCAGTGTGTAGAAAATATAATGAAAAGGGGGGGGGGACCTGGTTTTATAAATTGTATATTCAACAACCAAATCAACTAGGAGGAGACAAGTGGGGGCGAAGATAGGCTTAAACTGCAGAGGTTCAGAAGCGAAAGAAGGAGCCCCAAAGCAAATCTAATGAGTTGTGAATTTTGTGAGTTGTGTGCCCTTTGCTTTGCTCCCAGGCAAATGGGTTCTAACAGGATCTCACTGAAGGTCTTGTTGACATGGGCAAGGAGAACCTTCCTTTTCACAGGCCACTAAAGGGGAGAACTGTTCTCCAAATCTAATATCTCCAAGAGGGACGGGCAGACCCGTTCCCAAATCTTCCCCAGATGAACCCGACATGGCTGAACTGATTTAAATCTAAAATCTGCCGTAAATTTTCATTCATTCATTAAGAGGAAGGAAGGAAGGAAGGAAGGAAAGAAAAAGAAAGAAAGAAAGAAAGAAAGAAAGAAAGAAAGAAAGAAAGAAAGAAAGAAAGAAAGAAAGAAAGAAAGAAAGAAAGAAAGAAGGAATTTGGCTTAGAATATAAGTTTTTAAAAACTTATGTTCTCCAAATCTAATATCTCCAAGAGGGACGGACAGACCCATTCCCAAATCTTCCCCAGATGAACCCGACATGGCTGAACTGATTTAAATCTAAAATCTTCCATAAATTTTCATTCATTCATTAAGAGGAAGGAAGGAAGGAAGGAAGGAAGGAAAGAAAAAGAAAGAAAGAAAGAAAGAAAGAAAGAAAGAAAGAAAGAAAGAAAGAAAGAAAGAGAGAGAGTTTAGCTTAGAATATAAGTTTTTTTAAAAAATCCATAAGTTTATGTCCTTTGGGAAAAAAATCAAAACTTTTTTACCTGTATCTTTTCGAGTCCACTGGGACCACGTCTATAGCAATATAATATTGTTTCACTGGATCCAGACCTTTTACTTTAACTCTGACCGAAGGAAACATTCTCCTGCATGAAACAAAATTTGTGTTACCTTACTGTAACATTTCACTTGCCAGCCTCACAACTTTCTGCAACTTTCAAACAAGCTGTTGGGTTTTTTTCCCCCAACCCCAAAGCATTTATACCACACCTAGAGTATTAATCTGTACTACGCATTTGGGGGGGGGGGGAATTACAAGAAAAAAGAAAAGATAGATCAATGTAAATTGCTTGGCTTTGTAGAATTACGTATTTTCATTAGTAGGAGGACCAAATTCTTAAAAGTTCCCTGCAGTTGGTCAACGGGAGTAATTATAAGCTGCAATTTGGTGAGGTTTTTTACTTGGAAGAATTTCTGGTTGAACATAAAGGACTTTTTTTTTGGCATATTTATAAATCAATTGGTTGTGTTCAGTACTCTTCCTGCCTCGTTTCCTACTACTGCTCTCTCCACAGTCCCATCAGGAAGAATATTAAGAAGTTTGAGGATGCTTCTGAAGAAAAGCAATTTAAATGTTTCCTAGTTCTCATAATTATCTAGGTAAATGAAAGAAGTATTGCAAGTAGCAATGCACAAAATATCAATAGAAGAGAATATTTGTAGCTCAGAATTGAATTGTGGGGTTCTTTGTGCTCTCTGAGCTTGGTGGTTTTCTTGCATATGTTTCATTACCAACCAGGTAACGGAGGAGGAGGAGGAGGAGGAGGAGGAGGAGGAGGAGGAGGAGGAGGAGGAGGACTACTGTGAAATTTGTGGTGCTTGGTTGTTTGCTTGCAGACAATTTATTACCCAACTAAGTAACATCATCAGTTCTTGGGTAATGAAACGTCTGAAAGAAAACAATTAAGCTCAGATAACACCAAGAATACAGAATACCTCTAGAATAAGATTTGCAGATAAATAGCCGAAGAAAAGCAAAATAGAGATAAGAGTAAGCTCCTTACTCTTTCACAGTTTCACAGTAATGATATTTAATTTTGTTTTCCAAATGTTTCCCATAAACAGCCCAGGTAGCCCATGCTCAAGAGTGCCACTGTGGCTCTCCAGCTTTGCTTTGTTCCTCTAACAACAACAAGTGTTCTAGGGTTCAGCGTTGCTAATATTTTTGCGTTGTGGGGAGGGACATTTAATGAAGATGGAACATTAGGAAAGTCATCTGTTGCCCTCTTGCGTGAAGAAGGATGGATTTTTAACACTCACTTTAGGAGAAGGGCAGATTAATCCTAGAGACAGCAAGACGTGTAGCCCTTTTGTGAGTTTTAATGCTGAAATGACTACATCTGACTTATCGATGTCATCACCGTTGCTGTCTTAAGTAGTTTGTTTAAGCCGGTAAAGAGCATCTGATTGTCCAAAGGAGAAAGCATGGAGCCAAGCCAAAACAAGGCATTGTGATGTAATTCTAGCAAACTTGAAAATGCTTAAGCCCAGTTTCACAGAATTCTTGGTGTTTTACTGAAGACAAATTACTTTAAAATGGTATCATATCAGTTCCCTTTCTATACAAGTGATTTATAGCACCGTCTAGTCATCATTATGGTGATGACTTCTCATGAAACCATGATTGAAGTAACTACAGTTTACTGAGTAAAACACTCTTTTATTTATTGAGGGGTTTGCATCCTACACAAAGCCATAACTCATTGCTCAAACGAACCACACCAGCTGCGTTCACACAATAAAGAAGCATCGGTTTCCAAGCAAATTTGACTCCTGAGGTCATTATGACTCTAGCCATCTAGTTTTAGTGACAGGGCGGTTATGGTTTGAAATTGCTTTTTTGGGGGGGATGTTATTATTTTATTATGATTATTTTCATAATCAAGTCTGTGGCCCTGAGATACTCCGAATGTTTTTCTTATCTTAAGTACTAATCAGGTCCAAACCTTCTTAGCTGGGACCCTGATAAAAGTTACCCAGGAGTTTCCATTGGCTGAGGTGAACATTGCATATCTTGTCTTACGCATGTGTGAACCTGATCAGCGTGAAAATATTAATTTCAACGAAGCTTAATGTTTCTGCTCCCAATAGCCACCAACGGTAGCTATAATTTATTTAATTGGCTCAATTATTTTGGACTGGCAGAGCTGCTTGACCCACAAACCAATCACTGGGGCTGAGTTTGCAAAATGCTCTAAACTAAAAGATGGCTTGTTCGACGTTTAGATTTAAGACCAGTGGCCAAGTGGCTTTTTTCTGGTTGGTTTTCACGCAACATTGTGTGTCACCCGACATGCTGTGCCCAACAAATCCACCACACTATGGATTAAGATAGTAATCTGAAACCCTGTATACATTTCCAGGAAGGAAGGAAGGAAGGAAGGAAGGAAGGAAGGAAGGAAGGAAGGAAGGAAGGAAGGAAGGAAAAAAAAAGAAAGAAAGGAAAGAAAGAAAGAAAGAAAGAAAGAAAGAAAGAAAGAAAGAAAGAAAGAAAGAAAGAAAGAAAGAAAGAACAGAATTGGAAAAGACCTTGGAGGTCTTTTGATCCAACCCCGTACTCAAGCAGGAGACCTTATACCATTTCAGACAAAACATTGTCCAATCTCTTTTAAAAATCTCCAGTGATGGAGCATCCAAAACTTCTGGAGACAAGCCCTTTCACTTATTGTTTGTTACTTCTTGTTCTGCCCTCAGGTGCTTTGGAGAACAGGTTGACCCCCTCTTCTAAGGACCACTAGTCCAAAGAGGTACAGTGTGTGAATATAGAATAAAATCATATCCACATTTTGTGGTTTAGCAGAAATAAATACCGTTCTAGGACCGGGAGGATTTAAAGGCAGGATGTGTACAGCGGAGGGGAGGGTGGAGGAGACGAAATATGTGTGCCCAGGTGATCACCTACGAGTCTAGATCTTACCTGCCAGCTTTGGTGATGATCATTTCGGTGCCAATTTCATGAAATCTCTTCCACAGCTCTGAGCCTTGTAAGTCCACTTGGATCTCCCCAGTTTCTTCTCTGGCTTCCTCGCAAAGAGACAGCGTTATTTCTCCTTTGGTTTTCTTTTCTGGAGAAGAGAAACACGAAGAAGAAATAAAATGTGAGAAGCAATGGAAATGAGCTTTGATGCGTCTGTTTAATGGCTGTCGGAATAGAACAGAACAACAGAACTGGAAGGGACCTTGGAGGTCTTCTAGCCTAACCCCTTGCTCAGGCAGGAGACCCTATAGTACCATTTCAGACAAAAGGCTGTCCAATCTCTTCTTAAAAACATCCAGTGTTGAAGCATTCACAACTTCTGGAGGCAGATTGTTTCACTGATTAATTGTTCTAACAATCAGAAAATTTCTCCTTAGTTCCAGGTTGCTTCTCTCCTTGATTAGTTTCCATCCGTTGCTTCTTGTCCTGCCTTCAGGCGCCTTGGAGAATAGCTTGACTCCCTCTTCTTTGGGGCAGCCCCTGAGATATCGGAACACTGCTATCGCGTCATCCCTCATCCTTCTCTTCATTAAACTTGGCATGCCCAATTCCAGCAACCGTTCTTCATATGTTTGAGCCTCCAGCCCCCTAACCATCTTTGTTGCTCTGTCTTCATGGGACAGACTGCTGAGCTCCTGTTTCCTGGAATGACAAATTTATCCAATCGGACAGACAGCTAACCAACAGGGGTGAGTGCCAGTCCAGCTTTGCTGGCTGAGTCAATGCAGCCATTACCTCTTTAAGTGGGTCAAGAATGTTATGTGAACCCGGTTCAGAAGTTCACTGAGACTTCCTTCTGGGGTGTGTGTGTGCAGAGAAAGATGATAATGTCACCCCTTCCTTGAGTTGCTCCAGGGCTTTCCTCCCTTAAACAAGGAAGATAGTCCTCCATTCGTTTTAGGTTACCCCATTAGAAGCCTGGGCGGGAATGTCAATAATTCTCCTATAGCACCTGGAGGAAATAATAATTCACTTACATATTATGTTCTCAGCCCTGGCTTTTATTTCTCTCCCAAATGAAAAGTGGCCTGGGATTATTGGAATTGCAGAATTGTTCAGCAATTGAAATCTGAAATTGATATTTGTTATTGGAAACTAAAGGTCTCCTTTATTATTATTATTATTATTATTATTATTATTATTATTATTATTATTATTATTATTATTATTATTATTATTGGTTGACAAGGAGATTTTGTTTTATTATTTTATTTTATTATTTATTATTGTATTAGAAAGAGTACAGAGAAGAGCAACAAGGGTGATTAGGGGACTGGAGGCTAAAACATATAAGGAACGGCTGCTGGAATTGGATATGTCTAGTTTAAGGAAGAGAAGGACGAGGGGGGGACATGATAGCAGTCTTCCAGTATCTCAGGGGCTGCCACAAAGAAGAAGGAGTCAAGCTCTTCTCCAAGGCGCCTGAAGGCAGGACAAGAAGCAACGGATGGAAATTAATCAAGGAGAGAAGCAACCTAGAACTAAGGAGAAACTTCCTGACAGTGAGAACAATTAACCAGTGGAACAACCTGCCTCCAGAAGCTGTGAATGCGCCAACACTGGAAGTTTTTAAGAGGAGACTGGACAGCCATTTGTCTGAAATGGTATAGGGTTTCCTGCCTGAGCAGGGGGTTGGACTAGATGACCTCCAAGGTCCCTTCCAACTTTATCATCATCACCATCATCACCATCATCATCATCATCATCATCATCATCATCATCATCATCATCATCATCATCATCATCATCATTATTATTATTATTATTATTATTATTATTATTATTATTATTATTATTATTATTATTATTATTATTATTATTATTATTATTATATCGATGCAGGAGGCGACTCTCCTGTGGCCCGTTTCCCTTTGGGCTCCATGGACCCTAAGTCTTGACCCATATTCCTCTCCCTCTATTCCTCTCCCTCCTGTCAGTTTCTCTCCTGCGGGCGGCTTTAACTTAGCAAACAAGCATGCTTTATGTTTGTTTTTAATTCTGAGAAATTAGAATTAATTTCTAATCAACAAGGGAGGGAGTCAACACAGAACCCGTTCACCTCGTTGCCTGGCAATGCTCCATTAGCGCTAACCTTGGTTAGCGCGGGTTTTTTTTTGGGGGGGGGAAGGAACAAGCCTGCCAATCAATCAACCAGAACAGAGCTGGAAGGGACCTTGGAGGTCTTCTAGTCCAACCTCCCCCCTGCTCAAGCAGGAGACTGTCGTGGGACCGCATTCTGACTGGTGAATTCCTGATCCTATGCATTGCCCAAGGGTAACTCAGTCGTTAAGTTGACCCCAGTCCTAAAACTTTGCTCTTTCAAACTCCGGGAAACAAATGGGAGAATCCTCCCCTCCCCGGGCGCTGAAGCTTGCGCGGGTCAGAGTAGGGAAGAGGGGAAAAAAAGGGGGGGGCTTCCGTGGATTTAGGGGTCCCGATCCTCACTGCTGCTGGACTCCTGATTAAACCTGGAAAGAGATCCGAGAAGAAACGGAGCTTACCGGGCGCTTGGCTTCTCCGAAAAGCCGCTTTTTCCGTCCGGGTCTCGGAGGAGAGATCCTCTTCCAGATCCTTCAGCTTGCGCTTGGTAGGATTGGCGTTGCCCATTAAAACGTCCACGGAGAAAGCGTGCGCCCGGGAACTCAAAGCCATCGCCGGGGTCCTTTTTGCGGTCGAAGAAGCGCCCCCCAAAAAGGCGCGCGCAGAGGGAGGGGGGGGAGAGTGTCAATCAAAGAGGAATCCCTCTCCTCCGATCCAGCCTTCGGTTGCGATCCTGCCTTCAACCCGGACGGGAGTTCTCAGCCCAGCGCGGAAACAGCTTCTTTAAGCAGCTTCACCCTTGGTTGGTTGGTTTTTTCTTTGGTTTTTTTGTTTTTTAGAAGTTGGGCCGCATCACCGGCAGGATTTTTTCTTTACAAAAATTCTCTTTGCTCGGTTCCATGCGAGCCTCAGAAGCCTGGCGAGGGGAAAGAACGAGGGCAGGTTTGCTTCGTTTTTCTTCTTCTTTCTCCTTCTCCTCCTTCTTCTCCTTCTCCTTCTCCTTCTCCTCCTCCTCCTCCTTCTCCTTCTCCTTCTCCTTCTC